CCACAAAAATAGCAAAAGCCAATTAAAAACTACAAACAGCATATTATTTACTGGTGAAGGGGAAACATTTCACAAGGGAATACATTCCATGTATATATATCCTAGTACAGATCCACTTTAACCATGGGAAGACAGTGTCCAGACTAACAAGCTTCACCTCACCAAAGACTAAGACCTTAAAACTAACAGGTCACATACATCAGAGGTTCCTTAGATAAGATCTCTTCATTGAGGTCAGGTATCTGTGTATACATCATCTGTATGTATATCGTATCAGTGTTTGAAAGGTAGACTTATATTTTGATTCAAAATCGAAAAAAATCTATAAAAAAATCAGTTTCTCCTTGTACAACTTAAACTGCTTTCAGTTCATTTCAATAATAATGTCAAGAGTTATTTAAAAGGTAGCCTGAGAGTGTTAAATCATGAGATGACAATTTGCATTTTGTTTAAGATTAGAAAATAATATCACATATGTTATGTACAGCTCAGATAGCCAAGGAAAACGTGATGTGACTTTCAGAATAGAAAGTGAAATAATTTGATAAGGATTTCAAAATTATTTGGAGTGGTGGCCCAATAGTTTAATCACAGGATTGCTATTAATATTGTTATTGATGTCTAATAGTTTAGGACGAGGTAAAGCTCAGACAGCCAAGGAAAGTGTCATCATTAATTTTCAGAAAAGAAAATGAACCCATGTCCTTCAGTCATCATCGCTTATACATTCACTTTCTTTTGATCAGGAAAACAAGCCGAACTTTAAAATCTATCCCCTTCAAAACTAACATGTACAGCACAATTTACACTAAGCAGTCAATATGTAGTTACCTTTTCAAACCTATCGTCCAGCAGCGTGAGTCCATCATTCCTGCGGATCACTGATGATGACATAGAGTAGCTGGTGAACCGTGACTTCGTCTCCTCATCCATAAACATCTGGTCACCAGGGTAACCACCCATCTCATCATCAGACATGGCTGCATCATTTGAATCCACGTCACATTCATCACTGTCGAAGAAGAAAATTGTACGCAATATCAATCTTGAAATATTATTACCTTAGGAAAAATGTTTTCGTCACATTTGATCTCTTCAGTTAGTTTGGTATACATGCATTTTGGTCATTAGTGTCTTGTCTCTGTGACATGCCAAAAACAATAATACACGTTTCATAAAATCTGAAACTACCAGTTTCCGTCCTTTGTATAGCTGGCTGTTGTGGGAATGTAAAAACCTAAACAAACTGACTGTCGCAGACTGACATAGAACTGACTGACAGAGACTGACATAGAACTGACTGTCGCAGACTGACATAGAACTGACTGACAAAGACTGACATAGAACTGACTGACAGAGACCGACATAGAACTGACTGACGGAGACTGACATAGAACTGATTGACGGAGACTGACATAGAACTGACTGACCTAGAACTGACTGACGGAGACTGACGGAGACTGACTGACGGAGACTGACATAGAACTGACTGACGGAGACTGACTGACG